CTCCCTATCTCTGTAACCTCCTCCAGCCCCTACACCCCCTCCCTATCACTGTAACCTCCTCCAGCCCCTACACGCCTCCCTATTTCTTTATCTTCACAAGCCCTTACTTTATCCGTAAAATCAATTTAAAGAGGTTATTAAAGGATTAGCTGTTTCTGGTGTGCAATCTGAAAATGATTGAAAGAGAGGGAATTTAAAAGCTTTGAATGCGCTTTATGAATGGCACGTGTTTGATCTTCGAGTATTTAGGACCAAGAGCGATAACAGATTGTGAGATGTGTAAACTTGTCATCCCCATATTGGTCCTGCGGACTGCCCATGGTAGATACTGTGCGAGTGATTATAGCTGTGGCATTGAGGGAATGATGGTTTCTCGAGTTAGGTCAGGAATAGTGAATTGGCATGCAGATCGCATTGAGTTAAGAGAGGCCATGATGTGGTTAGCAGGATGAGAATATGCAAGTAGTGAGGGCTAGTGAGCCTAACAGCTTCTGAAATGGGTCAATAAAGTCCCAGAGAACTGACATGGATCTTCAAACAGCCTGTTTCACATTGCTAATGGCATGCATCAGAGTAAGGATGTCTTGCTGCAATTATACAGGGCCTTGGTGAGGCTATACCTTGAGTATTGTGTGCAGTTTTGGTCCCCTAGCTTGAAAATGGACATTCTTGCTATTGGGAGAGTCCGGTGAAGGTTCACCAGACTGATTCCTGGGATGGCAGCACTGATATATGAGGAAAGACTGGATCGACTGGGTTTGTACTCATTGGAATTTAGAAGAATGAAGTGGGAGGTTGGAGTGGAGGATCTCATAGTAACATATAAAATCTTGATGGGACTGGACAGGCTAGATGTGGGAAGAATGTTCCCGATGTTGGGGGAGTCCAGAACTAGGGTTCACAGTCTAAGAATAAGGGGTAAGCCATTGAGGGCTGAGATGAGGAAGAATCTCTTCACTCAGAGACTTATGAACCTGTGGAATTCTCTCCCACAGGAAGCTGGTGGGGCCAGTTCATTAGATATATTCAATAGGGAGCTGGACATGGCCCTTGTGGCTAAAGGGATCAAGGGGTATAGAGAGAAAGTGGGAATGGGATATTGAGATAGCATGATCAGCCATGGTCATATTGAATGATGGTGCAGGCTCAAAGGGCCGAATGGCCTACTCTTGCACCTATTTTCTAAGTTTCTATGCCCTGCTTTTAGGGTCAACAACCCAACTCTACATCGGATGAAAATCATGCAACTGGGACGTTTTATTTTACCAAGGTTGGATGGTCAAGTCAGGATATTGCCCCACTTCAGCTACCCAACCTGGGAATTCAGATCTGGACCAAGGGTGCAGTTCTCTACTGTCTGGAGGTGGCAAGAAGGGGAAGTAACTGGATAAGACTGCCCCAGAAGGATACTTTCCCATTTCCCAGCATTTTTCCAATTAAGTTTATATTGGGAAGGTCCACTGGGGACACTCTCGGTTCTCCACCAGTTGAGGCAGTTAAAATGGTCAATTAATGGCCACTTCAGTGCCTCAATTCCCCACTCTGTGAAAGGTGGATAGTTTCCCAACTTGACCTACCTATTTGTTTGGGGGCTGCCACAATTGCCCCAGTTGGAGGCATGGATGAAGGTCAAGGGCTAGCCTCTGAAAATCATACCGGCCCCTCCCAACCTCCCTCCCCTCAACGAACCCCACCCTGCAACAGAATAAAAACAACTTGATTTCCTGCTGCTGGAAACCCCTGCGGCCTCAATCAGCGGTCTTTAGGACCCAGAGGCTGACGGCCTGTGATTGGCTGGCAGTTTCTGGTGACCCACGTCTCTAAAGTGGAGGCTTGCGATAGGCCAAGAAACTTGCCCTCACATATCTGAGTGAGCTGATTGGTACGTGATAGGTGGAGTCATCTCGGCAGTAGGTTAGTCAGTCCCTGACACGTTCATCCCCATATTTTGAAAGGAGAAATGAAAAGGGCACCCTGTGGAGGGGGGTGGTGGTATAGTGGTAATATCACTGGACTAGTAATTCAGAAGAACAGGCCAATGTTCTGGGGTCGTGGGTTCGAATCCCCAACATAGCAGACGGTAATAAGTTGAATTCAATAAAACCTGGATTTAAAAGCTAGCTTAACAGTGACCATGAACCTATAGTCACTTTTCATAAAAGACCATATGGTCCATGAGTATCCTTTAGGGAAGGAAATCTGCCATCCTCACCTGGGCTGGCTTATAAATATGACTCCAGATCCAAAGCCATGTGGTTGACTCCTCTTAATTGTCCATTTAAGCATTGGCAATAAATGCTGGTGTCTCCAATGACATCCCATGCAAGAATTTTTTTAAAAAACTACAAAGCCTGGATCCTGTATGGATAATTAATTGCTTTCCAACCTTCAATGATTGCTCTGCTCCCGCATCCCTTTTTTAGAATTGCACCTTTGAGCGTTTATCTCCTCTTCTTGTTGTTCCTCCCAAATGGAATTATTTCACTTTTCTACATTAATTTTCATTTACCATTCGCCTGCCCATTACATCGACCGCTCTATGTTCTCTTGATGTCTACCTTTACCCCCGTCACAATCTATAATTGCAAATTTCACATCATCTGCAGACTTTCACATCTGGCTGACACCTTTCAGATCACCCTGTCCCTCCCACCCAGCATTAACACCGAAACCTTTAACTCAGCACAGGGAGGCTGTAAGACCGGAGTCCGGCTGTGAAACTTGTCTGTTAATGAGCGAGAGATCAAGGAAGAGGAGTGGCAAGCAGATATAAAACCACAGCAGGTTTGAAACCCTGGTAACAACAGCATATGATGACTGACTGTCCACATACTGAGCTACTTAACTTGCTCATTTCCTCATTTCACCCATGCCCGTGTCAAGAGCATAAACCAAACCATGAGGAGGGAGGGAAATATTTTAGGGGTATTCTCTCTGCTATTCCTAGCACTCATTCCCTTCCTACCTCTCTCATTCTATTTCCTAATCCCTCCCACTCTCCTGCAACCTGAAAGCATAGAAAATCGGAGCAGGCCATTCAGCCCTTCAAGCCTGTTCTGCCATTCAGTGTGACCATGGCCGATCTTCCAATTCAGACCCTATTCCTGTTTTCTCCCCTTACCCTTTGATCCCTTTCATCCCAAGAACTACATTCAACTCCTTCTTGAAAAAACTCAATGTTTTGGAATGGAACCTGGGTCCCTGGTGCTGTGAGGCAGCAGTGCTAACCACTGATCCACTGTGCCACCCCCTTTCTTTGAAGGATTATTAACAAGGACAAATCACAGAACCCCTACAGTGCAGAAAGAGGCCATTTGGCCCATCAAGTCTGCCTCGATATTCTGAGGAGCATTCTACTGAGACCCACCCCATCCCTGTAACCCTGCATTCCCCATGGCCAATCCACCTAGTGTGCACATCCCTGAACACTACGGGCAATTTAGCATGGCCAATCCACCTAACCTGCTCATTTTTAGACTGTGGGAGGAAACCGGAGCACCCGGAGGAAACCCACGCAGACACGGGGAGAATGTGCAAACTCCAATACAAACTGCGGCCTGAGGGTGGAATCGAGCCGGGTGCCTGGCACTGTGAGGCAGCCGTGCTGACCACTGAGCCACCATGCCGCCCCACCCTCATCGGCCTCAGCTGCTTTCTGTGGCAGATAATTCCACAAGTTCACCACTCTCTGGGTGACCAAATTTCTCATCTCCATCCTAAATCGCTGACCCCATATCCTTAGACAGTGACCGCTAGTTCTGGGCTCCCCGGTCACATCCTTCCTGAGTTTACTCTGACTAGTCCGGTTACAACTTTATAGGTGTCTGCGAGATCCCCCACTTCCCCCACACCCCCGCCTTATTCTTCCAAACTCCAGTGAATATAGTCTTAACTGATCCGGTCTCTTTTCATGCGTCATCCCAGGAATCCATCTGATAAACATTCTCTCTCTACTTTCCAAGCAAAGTCCCTATCGGTTTCCTCTTTGATGTCAGGGTGAAAAATTCTGTACCTCTTTGTATGCCATTTCAATATTCTTTTTCCCTGCAGCCCCCGTTGACATGGTTTTAGACACTTTCTTCCTTGACTCCATAATCTTGGCTCTCCGGTGTTTTGGTTTTCCAGCTGCAATCGATTCTTGGGTTTCAATTTGGTTAGTTCCTGAAGAAACAGAATTTTGGACACAATTTAGAGCCAAATTTGCTTTAATCTGTTTGTCAATCAGGCACAGCTAAACCCCATCATGACTAACAGACATCTGCACTTTTGCAATAGATGTGACTGGGGCCTTCGTAGGAACCAGGAATCTCCAGGTTCTATTTTACTCCTTGGGAAGTGACATTGTAGTGGTATTTCTGCTGGGCTTGTAACCCAGTAACCCAAGTATTATTCGAAATGGGGCTCTTGTGATGCAGTGGTAGTGTCTCTGTCTTTGAGCTAGATGTATTGGGTTCTAGAGATGTGTCATAAAATGTCTGTACATTGGAGTTGTTGGTTGGTTCACCAAGCTGATTGGCTTTCATGCAAATGTTTCATCTCCTTTCTGGGTTACATAGTCAGTGCTGTGTAGCCTCCGTTGAAGCGCTGTAGTTCTGTCCCTCTCTGAATTTATATGGGTCCGGTCTGTCATGGTCAGCAGTCTTCTTCCTGGTTTTGTACTGTAGTGTGATGTAAATGAGGTCTATTTCAATGTGTTTGTTAATTGCATCGGTGGTTGAAAACCAGGCCTCCAGGATTTCTCGTGCCAGTCTCTGTCTTACTTGCTGTAGTACTGTAACTTTATCCCAGTCAAATGTATGTCCTTCTATGTCGGAGTGTGTTGAAATGAGGGAGAACTGGTTGGGCCGTTTTGCTGCGAGTTGACATTCATGTATCCTGGTGGCGAGTTTCCTGCCCGTCTGTCCTATGTCGTGTTTCTCACAGCTGCTGCGTGGCATTTTATATATCACATTTATCCTACTCATTGTGGGTATGGGGTCTTTCGTCTTTGAGAGTAACTGGCGATGTGTGGCTGTTGGTTTGTGTGCTATTCTTATTCCAAGAGGTCGTAGGAATCTTGTAGTCAGTTCTGATGTGTTTCTATTATAGGGCAGGGTGGCCAGTGTTTTGGGGCGTACAGTGTCATCTTGGTGTTGTTTGTTTGCCAGTCATCGGCTGACGAAGCTGTTAAGATACCCATTGTTTGTAAAGACTCTGTATAGGTGTTCCTCTTCGTTTTTGCACAGCTCCGGAGTGTTGCAGTGAGTGATCATTCATTTAAACAGAGTCTTGACACATCCCTGTTTGCGGACGCTGGGGTGGTTATCGTTGTAATTCATTATTTGGTCTGTGTGCATTGTCTTTCTGTACAGACCAAATCCTGAATTACAACAGTAACCACCCCAGCGTCCACAAACAGAGATGTGTCAAGACTCTGTTTAACTGAGCGATAACTCTCTGCAACACCCCGGAGCTGCGTAAAAATAAGAGGAACACCTATACAGAGTGGTTGCAAACAATGGGTATCCTAACAGGTTCGTCCACTGATGCCTGGTAAACAAACAACACCAAGATGACACTGCACACCCCAATACACTGGCCACATGTTAGAAACACATCAGAACTGAATACATGACTCCTACAACCTCTTGGAATAAGGATAGCACACAAACCAACAGCCACACTTCACCAGTTACTCTCAAAGACAAAAGGCCCCATTACCCATAACAAGCAGGACAAACATGATATGTAAAATACCATGCAGCAACTGCAAGCAACACTACATAGGACAAATGGGCAGGAAACTCTCCACCAGGATACATGAATGTCAGAAATCACACGACACCAGGTTATAGTCCAACAGATTTATTTGAAAACACAAGCTTTCGGAGCCTCAGTCCTTCTTCAGGTGCTAGTGAGAAAGGTAGATTCAGACACAGAATTTATAAGTAAAAGATCAAAGGGTCACACCACTGATGAGGATGTACTAAACAAACCCAAGATGCTGTTGAATATTTAATCAGTTAGAAGGTTTTAATTGATTAATATGTATATGTAAATCCCCAAGTTCCTTTGAAGTCACTGTCCTGTGAGAAAAGGTTTTATCAGTGTAAAGAAGAGGTGACATTTTAGGTCAGACAATGCATGTTGGGTGTGAAGCCTTGCTTAGAATCTGTTTGTGATGGGAGAGAATAAAAACAGGAGCAGGCGGAGACAATGGGTCGACCAGGGCATTCAGGTTTGTGGATTTTGTGAAGGAGATAGAAGCGTATAAAAACAGGAGCAGATTTTCTGATGAAGGGTCTAGGCCCGAAACGTCAGCCTTTCTGCTCCTATGATGCTGCTTAGCCTGCTGTGTTCGTCCAGCTCTGCACCTTGTTGTCTTAGAATCTGTTTGTGTCTTGGTTTGGACTCAGACTGGTTTTACTTCCAAAGTAGGAATTTATAAAATGCCACATTGACTGACTATCTATAAATTGTGTGTCTTTTGAACAAAATAGAATGTATCTGCAAATACAAATTCACCTCACACAGATTCACGTGTGTGTGTGCGCGTGTGTGCGTGTGTGCGTGCGTGCATGTGTGTGTGAGAGAGAGAGACAGAGAGAGAGAGAGAAAGAAAGAAGGAGAGAGAGTTGGGGGGGGAAAGAGAGTGAGAGCGTGAACGTGTGCGACTGAAGATGTGACTGTGTGTGTGTAAAAGAGTTTATGTGAGTGAGTGAGCGAGTGAGTGAGCGCCTGTGAGTGTGTGTAGTACGGTGGGGTCACTTGTAGTGCGACATGAACCCAAGATCCTGGTTGAGGTCGTCGTCATGGGTACAGAACATGGCTATCAGCCTCTGCTCAGCGACTCTGCGTTGTTGTGTTTGCCAAAGTCCACCTTAGAGGACATATACCCGAAGATCCAAGGCCAAATGTCCTTCACCGCTGAAGTGTTCCCCCACTGGGAGGGAGCATTCCTGCGCGGCAATTGTTGCGCAGTGTCCATTCATCCGTTGTCGTGGCGTGTGCATGATTTTGCTAATAATACCATGCCTCGGGCCAACTTTGCCTGCAGCATATGAGACAACCAATATTGGCTGAGTTACGTGAGCATCTGCTATGTATGTGATGGGTGGTGTTTCCACATGTGATGGTAGTATCCATGTCTAAGATCTGACGTGTCTTACAGAGGTTGCCATGACAGGGTTGTATGGTGCTGTGATCGATGTTGTCCTGAAGGCTGGGTAGTTTGCTGTGAACAATGGTCTGTTTAAGGTTTGGCGATTGTTTGAAGGTGAGAAGTGGAGGCGTAGGAAAGATCTTGGCGAGGTGCTCATCGTCATCGATAATGTGTTGAAGGCTGTGAAGAACGTGGCGTAGTTTCTCCGCTCCCAGGAAGTACTGGACGATGAAGGGTACCTATCGAACATATCCCACGTCTGTCTTTTCAGGAGGTCATTACGGTTTCTCACTGCGGCATGTTGGAACTGGCGATCGAAGAGTTCAGCATCGTATCCTGTTCCTATGAGGGCGTCCCGCAACATCTTCAGGTATCCATCTCATTCCTCCTCATCCTATGTATGCACAGGGCTTGTCCGTTGGAAATGGCTGTTTTAATATGTTTGGGGTGGAAGCTAGAGAAGTGCAACATCATGAAGTTATCCATGGGCTTGCAGTAGAGTGAGGTGTTGAGGTGCTCATGCCTGATGGAGATGGGTGTGTCCAAGAATGAGACTGATTCTAAATAGTCGTCCATGGTAAGTCTGATAGTGGGATGAAACTTGTTGATATCACCTGTGTAGTTGTTTCAGTGATTCCTCGCCATGAATCCAAAGGAAGAAATGTCATCCATGTCATCCATGTATCTCGTGTATAGCTTTGATCGGAGATTCTGTGATGAAGAATGTTCCTGGTTTGACCGGTCCGTGGGTGCAGAGTTTCTGTAAGAAATCTGTAGTGTTGCGACAGAAGCGACAATGAGCTTCAAGATGCCCTCAACATAGCCAAAGAGGTTCTCACACAGGGTCCCTTGCCTGATACAATGGGACATCCAGGTGTGTTGGCTTTGTGTATCTTTGGAAGGCAATAGAAGTCTCCGACATGGGAAGTATGTGGGATGAGATTACGTAGGGTACTCTGAAGGACTGGATCAAAGTCCTGATCAGCAGTGTGACCCTTTGATCTTTTACTTATAAATTCTGTCTGATACTTCCTCTGTCAATAACACCTGAAGGAGAGAGGCTCCAAAAGATTGTGTTACCAAATAAACCTGCTGGACTATAGCCTGGAGTCGTGCAATTTCTGACACTGTCCACCCCAGTCCAACACTGGCACCTCCACATCAAGGATACATAAACACCAACTTGCAGCAAAACGGCACGACCAACTCTCCCTCATTTTAATACACTCCGACATCGAAGGACATCAATTTGACTGGGATAAAGTTACAGTACTAGGACAAGTGGGGCAGAGACCGGCAAGAGAATTCCCAGAGGCCTGGTTTTCAACCACCGATGCAATTAACAAACATGTTGAAATAGACCCTATCTTCATCCCACTACGGAACAAAACCGGAAACAAGACTGCCCACCATAACAGACTGGACCATATACATTCAGAGCGGGACAGAACAACAGCACTTCAACAGAGGCTACACAGCAATGACAATGTCACCCAGAAAGGAGACGAAACGTTTGCATGAAAACCAGTCAGCTCAGTGAACCAACCAATAACTCCAACCGCAACCCGAGCTACGGGTCTTCATTAAAACGTTAAATATCTGAGCATTTTGATTAGAAAAATAAACTATATTCTACCCCTTTGCTCAAGCTCCGTTAGGCAGGGTTCATGCTCCCAGTGTACAGCTAAAGCTCAACGTGCTAAATTGTGGCCCTGAAGTCTGCCTCTGAAGTGCAATTTCTCACGAGGAGCCAGTCTCGCATGTAAAGCAGAACAAGATGAACCAATCTCCTCTGACGATTCAATTGTTGCAGGAATGTTGGATGATAATTCGCCACACTTCTAATCCCGTGAACAGCAACAATTTGTTTTAAAAAAAGCATCTTTAACATTTGAGGAAACATCCTGCAGCACTTCACAGAAGTGTAACCAAACAAAATTTGACACTGGATCACCTTAAGGAATACCTGATCATCACAGAATCCTTAGAGTGTGGAAGCAGGCCATTCAGCCCACTGAGTCTGCACCGACCCTCCGAGAAGCATCCCACCCAAACACGTACCCCTACCCTATCCCTGTAACCCTGTATTTCCCATGGTTAATTCATGTAGCCAGCATATCCCTGGATACTACAGGCAATTTAGCATGGCCGATCCTAACCCACACATCTTTGAACTGAGAGGGGAAACCGGAGCACCTGGAGAAAACCTACGCAAACAGGGTGAGAATGTGCAAACTCCACACAGACAGTCACCCAAGGCTGGAATCGAACCCGGTTCCCTGGCACCGTGAGGGAGCAGTGCTAACCACAGTGCCACCTTTTTGATCTCGTGATCAAAAGTTTGATAAAGGGGTAGGCTTTAAACAGCAGCCTAAAGAAAGAGCACGAGAGGGAGGGAGATAAGGTTTAGGGAGGAAATCCCAGGGCTTTGGGTCAGACAGCTGAAGATGCTGTAGTATCTGGTGGTGTATTTAATATTGGAAATGCTTAATTGCCAAACTTGGAGGAGCAGAGACCTAAGGGCTGCGAGACTATAGGTGGTTATACTGAGGGGTAAGACAGGATATCCAGTTTAAGTGCCCACCTAAAACTGTGATGAGGAGGTGCCGGTGTTGGACTGGGGGAGACAAAGTCAGAAGTCACATAACACCAGGTTATAGTCCAACAGGTTTATTTGAAATCACAAGTTTTTGGAGCACTGCTGGAGCAGCACCCCAAAAGCTTGCAATTCCAAATAAACCTGTTGGACTATAACCTGGTGTCGTGTGCCTTCACACTTAAAACTGAGAGAGGTGGAAGCTTCATGTACTTGACCCAAGTCTTCAGCAATGCAAAGACTTGCATTTACAAGTTCCTTTAGTATAGAAAAACATCTCAATGTGCTTTAGAGGAAGAAAACGGACACCTCACCAAAGGAGACATTAATGAGGATGACAAAACCTTGGCCAATGATGTGGATTGTAGGCAATGTTTTAGAGCAGGAACTGAAGCTGAAGTGTCTGATGGTTTAAGAGATAGATTGCACATCCTGACTAGATTTGGGAAGTTTCCTTTAAATCGGAAAACAGCTAATGTAATTCCTTTTCTCAACAAAAGAGGGAGACAGAGAGCAGGAAACGAGGCTGATTAAAAACCAAAAGAATTGCAGATGCTGCAAATCAGAAACAAAAACAGAAGTTGCTGCAAAAGCTCAGCAGGTCTGACAGCACCTGTGAAGAGAATTCAAAGTTAACATTGCAGGTTTGGTGACCCTTCCTCAGGAAACTAGGCTGGTTAGTTTAACATGTCAATGGGAAAATACAGTAGAGCACAGAACAGGCCCTTCGGCCCACCAAGTCTGCGCCAATTCCTAATCCTTATTTAGATCCTCTACTTACTGCCCATACACAATTTCTATCTCTCTGTTCGCTTCTTGTCCATGTGTCAATCAAGATACACCTCAAATATTGCTAACATGCCTTCTTCCGCCACCTCCAATGGCAGAGTGTTCCAGGCACCAGCCTCTGTGAAAAATTTTCCTCACACTTCTCCCCTAAACTTTCTCCCTGTCACCTTGAACCTGTTCCCTCTTGTAGTTGACCTTTCCACCTGGGGAAAAAGCCTCTGACTATCCACCCTATCTGTGCCTCTCATAATTGTGTAGACCTCTATCAGGGCACCCCTCAGCCTGCACCTTTCCAGTGAAAACAATCTCCTAATAACTAAAACCCTCCAGACCAGGCAACATCCTGGTAAACCTTGTCTACACCTTCTTCAAAGCATCCACATCCTTCTGGGAGTATGGCAACCAGAAAAACATGCAATATTCCAAACGCGCCCTGACTGAAGTTTTATACACTTGTAACATAACCTGCCAAATTTTATATTCGATGCCTCGGTCGATGAAGGCAAGCGTGCTGTATGACTTTTTGACCACCTTATCCACCTGTATTGCCACTTTCAGGAATCAGTACACCCAGATCCCTCTATATGACAATGCTCCTAAGAGTTATGCCATTCGATGTATAATTTGCACCTGAATTTGATTTTCTAAAATGCATCACCTCACATTTATCCGGATTAAATTCCATCTTCCATTTTTCTGCCCAAATCTGCAATCTATCTATATCTTGCTGTATCTTTTGACAATCCTCCTCTCTATCTGCAACTCCATCAATTTTGGTGTCATCCGCATACTTACTAAATCAGACTATCTACATTGTAATATATATAAATGATCTGGAGGACAAACAACAAAGGTCCCAGCACTGGTTGCTGTAGAACACCACTAAATTCTTGATCTCCATTACAAAAAGCATTCTTCTACCACTACTCTGTCTTCCATGACCAAGCCAGTTTTATATCCATCCAGCCAGCTCACTCAGATACCATGAGACTAACTTTTGTACCAGCCTTCCATGAGGTAGCTTATCAAGTGCCTCATTAAAGTCCATGTATACAACATCCACTGCCCTTCTGTCAATCATTGTTCGCCCCACCTCAAAAAACTCAATGAAGTTGATAAGACGTGGCCTTCCCCGCACAAACCCATGCTGCCTGTCACTAACAAGTCCATATACTTCCAAATGAGAATAAATCCTTTTTCTCATTATCTTCTCCAACAGTTTCCCCACCACTGACATCAGGCTCACCAGCCTATAAATTACTGGATTATCTATGTTTCCCTTCTTAAACAAAGGAACAACATTGACCATTCTCCAGTCTTCTGGATCCTTGTCTAAAGCCAAAGAGGATACAATAATATCTGTTAAGGCCCCAGCTATTTCCTCCCTTGCCTCTCACAGTATCCTGGGATTGATCCCATCTGGCCCAGGGAACTTGTCCACCTAATGCTTTTCCAGACACCCAACACTTCCTTCTTCATTATGCTGACCTACCCTAGAGTATTATACACACCTTTCCCTAACTTTAACATCCCTCACATCCCTCTCTTTGGTGAATACTGATGTAAAGTACTCATTAAGGATCTCACCCATTTCTTCTGGCTCCACATATAACCTCCTTCCTTTATCCTTGAGTGGGCCTACTCTTACCCTAGCTACTCTCTTGCTCCTACTGTATGCCTTGGGATTCTCCTTAACCCGCTAACCAAGGACATTTCATAGCCCCTTTTGGCCCTCCTAACTCCCTGATTGAGCTCCTTCCTAAATTTCTCTACATTCTTCAAGGACTTTGTCTGTTTTTAGGTCTGCTTCCTTTTTTGTTTGAGTAAACTGATGATTTCCCCTGTCATTCAACGTTCCCAAATCTTGTCATTCATTTTCATGGGAACATGCCTGCTCTGCATTCTAATCAACTAGTCTTTAAAAGACTCTGACATGTCAGATATGGATTTACACTCAAACAGCCAATCCCAATCCACAT